TACGCCGAAGTTTTCGAGTATGGATGTAATCTCGAAAAATCGTCCATGAAATCAGTTAATGCCTCGCTCGTTTCACAAGTACCTTCTGGCTTTCCTCGCGAGACTCGCGCACGGCTGTACTTCACACAACGTACGTACGTTCATTGTGGAACTATACGCGGAACGGGCTCTTCAGAAACAATGCGGTTGTGTGCAAATACTCCTGGAAACAATGCGGCCGCGACTTAACTTTCTAGGATAGCTACGACAGTGTGTCGTTCTTCGTGTACCGTCGGATGTACCGAAGCCACAAACCACGCTACCTAATGCAGAAACGACGTTCCATCCCCCGCGATGAATCCGGATGCGACTTGTTTCTGATGTGTGTCTTCTTGCGACCGCAGCGAGACAATATCTGCGCAAGTTCCTCTTTGCGTTATGATTTTCCCAAATTATTACTACGCGGGACCGAGAACTGAGAGAACTACTGAAAAATATTTAGCTATAGTTTCGGTGAAACTTACGAAGTTTGAAACACTTACTCGTTTAAAAAATTCGACTCGTCTACAAATAATATCGTGATACGATCGAAAAAGTTTAAAATAGTTATCAGGTTATATTCTGTACACGGAAATAGCGCGATTGTGATGACCATAAAATGATATAACTATTAAGATATGACCACTAACGTACAGTTATCACAATTAAATATATTGATGGATGAAAATTATCATTTATGTCCGATTGTGACGAGAGTAACACTTTTTTTTGTGTAGGAATTTCCTGCGGATTTAAGATGCAACAGCAAAACGCATATTCGAGCACGTGCGCCTTGTTTGGCTTAACTGATCCGCACAGATACGATCTGCCGGACGTATCCGCAAATCGTATTCTTTAACAACGAGAGAGTAAACCTCTGGCTGTCTGTCTCTCTCTCTCTCTCTCTCCCGTGCAGAACACATGCAGGGACGTAATAATGGGGATTTAACAGTCATTAGGGACGGCATGCCGGTATATATCTGTCGATTGGTAACGCAAAGTGTTTGCACTAGGGCGAAACTGTCGAAGGGCCGAGGTAGGAGGTAACTCGTTGCAACGGGAGATCGATTTTCGGAAGGAAGGGTCGGAAAAGTACGCGCGGGTGTAAAAGGCACCCTAGCTATCTTTTTCTAGTTCGACCATTTCTCTCGGGCTCTTCGTAGGGTCGTAGACTACTCGAGTGCCCTCGAGGGCCAATCGAATGGGCATTTTGCCCACACTTAGCGGTCTGTAACAAGTGCATTGTTCCGTGCACCAAAGTGCACAAAGATAAAGAGACTTCTGGCTACTGCGATAAGAGGACCGTCGAGTGCTCGTTCTCGCTCTCTCCTTCACTTTCTATTTCTGTCTTCATTTTTCTCTCGTGACGCGATTTTAATATGACGAAAGTGCAAATAAATCTGTCGCTTTGCCGACAGTCCACATTGGTAGTTTTTTTTTTCAACCTTTGACGCGATCATTAGAATTTTAAAATGAAAAAGTTTTATTAGCTAAGTGCTCAAAAATGTGGAAATTTAGTAATGATATTGCGTGATTTTGTGTAATGGTAATTTACTACGAATCAGCAATATCGTTAAGAAAAAACTGTAAGAATCTATATTTCGTTATAAGAACTGAAAAGAAAAAATGGATGAAAGCGAGAAAGTTAACGCCGTGCATGACAATGCATAAGGGTGCCCAGTGTTGTTGAACATTTTTTGAAAGTGACAGTTGTTTTCGACGTTTTTCGCCCATGCTGGGTGGCATGTAACAAGTGCTTTGTGGTCGGCGCGAGGCACATAAGTGCACAAAAGTGGAGATTCGCGCTTGACTGATTTCAGAAGGACTCGGGAGAATACTCCGCCTTTCTTCATCTTTCGCCCTTCCTTTCATAGCGAGCAAAATTTTAATATAACCAGGACGAGAGGCGGCGTCATGGCGTAGTGTATACTCTATGGATTCTTTTTCAACGAGCAACTTTATTCCCGGGGAGATCGGAAGAAATTTGCACGCGAGCGTAATGAGACGTAATATTAGAAATGCAATACGGGGCACAAGCTCACCTTTTACGTCTACGATATTAAGTATTCGTAATTTCATCGTGTAATATAATGTCTATAAAGTCGCTCTATAATATACTCCCTACGAGGAAAAAGAAACGTTATATTTTATCGATATAAAAAAACTTCATCCCTTTCAGAGTTTAAATTGCTGTATGAATTATATCTAATTGCACAGAGTAAATAATTTAAATTTTCTAATGATTACGTTCTAATTTGAAAGATTAAAATTTCTTTGACTACGTCAACTCTCGTAGCATTTGTGTTTACGAGAAACCGTGATTATATTTAGTAGATCAGAGTGTGCCGAGCTGATAGATATGTCATATAAAGCCACTTATCATACGTATTACGCGTCCGGTAGTTAAATTGCAGCAGAACAAATTTCAATAGTAGTCGGGCACAAATTTCAACTGCGGACGCAACAGGATGTAATGTACATATACGCTACGGGGTACGAGAGCGAACGTGGATGTTTCTTCTATATTTGCGCTAAAAGACTCACGCTACAACGGCTTTATTAGCACTCTGAAGAGGTCTTTTGTACATATGCCGCAGTTTCTATTTAGTGAAAGCTGATTTCAATATAGAGCGGTTAAGAGAGGAAACGAAACAATATATTATTAAAAACGATCTGATCTAAGATTTAATTTCGGAAGCACACATTTCGAATCAGTCAGATTTATATCGGTTAAAGTCAAGTCTTCGCAAGTAAAAATCTTTCCGCGTAAAGAGATCCGTAACTACGGTATTAAAAGTCTCAACTTCAATTCGTCTGGATTTAATTTAAACTCATGAATTACGCCATTGTATATAGTATAAAATTCACTGCTCCGAGAAAAATATATAATTATATTTAATTTATATTCGTAAATACGGGTCACATGCTATTGTTAGAGCACAGAAATTAATATTAAGAAATTTAATCATATACATGTAATATTATAACGTTTCGGCCCTAAATTATACGTATGTGACTAAATTTATGAAATTTATTTCTGCGTCTAACATTTCTTGCACTAATAAAGGTGTGTGATTTGCCGTTTTCTTAATTATTTTTCACATTATCGTGAGTCTGAGTTTATATGTTGTATATAGAGTATCTGTTATTTTATATTAATTTATATTTATGGGTCAATTCTAAGCAGAATCGTAAGACTCATAACTTGTTCTCATAAAACTTGTAAGAATTTATGACTAGTATTGTAATTTTATATATATATCGTAAAGCGTACGATTATTAGTAAATATCTACGATTGCTCGTAAATCTTATAGCTAGCAAGAAGCTGTCTGTAAAGTTATTGTATAAAGTTATAAGCTCTTATAAGTTCTTACAAGTCTTACGCGAATATATTACGAGCCTTACGATTCTGTTTAGAATTTAGACATTCTGTGCCAAGATTGTCTTTTTAACTAAATCGCTGTAAACGGATAATAACAATTGCCATTATGATACTGTACACCAAAAAACGGTTTTGTTCAAGTATCTAAAAGTTTAGCTTGATATTGATCTGAAAATAATTTGGTTGAATCAAAATAATTCTGCGAGGCACTTTAACTGGTTGCAAAAATGCTTGAAATTTTTATATAATCGTTTTGATAGTCTAACAAAATTATTCTCAGATCTGTATCCAGCTAAATTTTTTAATATTTCAGCGTTTGTTTTTTCCATGTAATACGTGACAAAGAATATTTTAAAGCTTGCTAGCTAATATCTCAAAGATGTCCCGCATTTTGTATTCAAATACTCGCATTGTGACGCTTATACGCTGTCGTCATTCGATTGTTTCTCACTGTGCATTAATTACTTACCGATTAGTATTCCCTTAATCCGAAACATGTGGACGACGACGTCCGGGAGACAGGAAACAATATGTGTTCCATCGTCGTTCGGCATATCGCAGATGTGTACAGACGTAATAAACGTGGCGGCAAACAAATTAACAAGTCGCCACCACCGGAGAAGCTGGATCGTTCATGATGGTGCAGGAAAGGGGAGCGATAGTCGTTCCTGACTTTGTAATCGGAGAGGATAAAACGCGACTTAAGTCAGAGGCTAAGAGCGCAACGGAAAGGATGCGAGCGTGTTGCACGTATTCAGGGTCGAGCCTTTCGATGTTCTTGTTCGCTGTTCTCGGTTTTCGGACCGACGATGCATTTTCGGAATTAGGTTGCGAGCTGCGGCTCCCCTGAGAATACCACGGAGTCCTGTTGCACCTTCGTTGGATTATCCCCGCACGCAGCTGCCAACCGCGTCATTCTTATTTCCATGCTGAACAACACAATCGGCTTGTGTTTGTTTAAAGCGTCTACTATTTTCTCTTTGATGACGCGAGACAGTCTACCTGATAACTGACGGAAGAATTTCAAGTTTTGGAAAAGTGCGAAGCGCATGATGTTCAGAGTCGGTCCTTGTTTACTTTTCTGTAAAAGAAAATAGGTAAAATTATTAGTAAGAAAAATACAAAAAGAGAGAAATGAATTTTTGTTCGTTTGTCTTTTATAGTCTTTTATATTTAATAAAGAACAAACGATGTTAACAATTTTCTAATAGAAAGACGATTTATACTTGATGATTCGATATTTTATAATAATTTTTGCTTATTTTGCATTCTTATGTTACACAGAAAAATTTGTTAAAGTATCTAAAGTTTATCTAAACAGATCTGAAAATAATTCAGCTAAATTTTTAAATACTTCATCAGAATTATTCCTTTCGCGTAGTCAATTATTCTTAAATAAAGCAAAAATATATCATTTGTATGAAGTAATATATTTTTCAATAAGATAGATTATGTTATTGTTGATTTGAGCAATTCTTATGTAATTTCACTTTCGTCTCTATCGTTTTTCAGACAGAACGTATAACTTGGACGTCGAGGACGTCTCTTTAGGGAGACCGCGGCGGGAGGGTGGTCGTGCTGGGGGCCGAGGGGGTGGTGATGTGGCCGAACAGCCTTGGAGGTACTTCCGGCTGCAGCGGGGGCGCCGGTGCCGCCGATCTCGGGGGCCTCGCCGCCTCCACCACCTCGGCCTCCGAACTCTTTGGGCCCGCAGCGTTCGGTGCATCCGCCGCGGGGCCCTATGGCGCTCTCAAGACAGCGCCCTACATGGGTCTCAGCATGCCGATCGATGCGTTACACTCCACTATTGGTTATCCCGGTTGTACACCCGCCGGTGAGTCGGTCTACTGTGAGTGCCTATCATATTTTTTATTAGTTTTAACTGAACCGAGTCGGGAGTAGCTTTTTATCTTTGAGTTACATATTTTGTATACCTATGTAAGTTTTATTGATATTTACCAACATAAACAAAATGTGAAATAATAGAGTATAAAGTTACATAACTATATATAATTTTTTAAATTATAAAAATTCTAAAAATAAATTTTACAAAACTGTAAAAAAATTATTATTATGAATTATAATTTTATACTGTAATTGTGAAGAAAGCACATTGGTAAAGCGCAGAAATGCTAATAATGATACAATACGAAATTATTCATTAATCGTGTTAATGTAAAAGCTTTTGCATTATGTACTGAAGTTGCTTCCAACTCGTGAAAATATTATTACTGCTATTAATTTAGTTATTAATAACGGTTCATTTATTCTATTTATTTTATTAATCATTATCGATTAGTTATTAAATGTAGTTGACCTGTACGCTATAACGTACAGATAATGTAGTAAAATTTATCAATTTATTATCGTTAGTATCATGTCAATTGAAATAATGTAATTGTAAATTAAAGAATTAAAAAACGGAAGTTTTTTTTGCAAATATCAATTATTTTCGAAGTAAAGCAATTTTTCTTAATTTCTTTTGAAGCCTTTTAAAAATAAATCATCACACATTAATTGAATATCAATTTTAATGGTCGTTTATAAATACCTAAGAGAAAAATTATAAAAAACACAAATCGAGATAAAATGATATTAGATTACATTAAAAATTCTGTATTAAAGGCAATCCAAGAAAGCAACGGCGGGAAAGGACGACATTCACACGATCACAGTTGGATGTATTAGAGGGACTTTTTTCGAGAACAAAATATCCTGATATTTTTATGCGCGAGGAAGTCGCTATGAAAATTAATTTACCAGAATCGAGAGTACAGGTAAGTCGTTGAGACACCAATCTAGATAATTCTTTTTACAAAAGTATGTTTTTATAAAAATTATATATTAACTGTCGTACTTGTATAAAATATGTAAAAAACTATATGATAAAATTCGATATAATTTTATACGTAATGTTTAAATTACTCAAGAAATAGTACTATACGGAATTTTAAGCGCGTAAAAATTATGTTTGTGAACATTCCCGTATTGCAGTAGAAAAATTCGACGTATCTCTCCACGAAAAGTGCGAGAATCTGATTACCGAGGGGTTGGCACTATCGGTACGCAGACAGCGTGGGCGACATTGATTTTTTCTCACATGTCGTTCGCTGAAGTTAACTTGATCGTTCGCCTTACAAATGTTCACATATTCTTCGGACAAACACCTTAGTATTGTATTAATTATAGTAAAAAACAAACTTGGATAGGATTTAATTTATATACGAAGTTCTGTTTAATACAGACTCATGACATTATTCGGCATAATTACATATAATCATAACATTAAAAGAAAGTGTAATAAAAATTATTTAATTTATATATGAAGTTCTGTTTAATACAGACTCATGACATTATTCGGCATAATTACATATAATCATAACATTAAAAGAAAGTGTAATAAAAATTGCAATCAAATTATGTAATCAAAGTGTAACTGCAACTATATTTACAATTATTTATGGCAAGCGTAAAAGGTATAAAAATAAAAAAAGTATAAAAGCACCGAACATTTCGGGCTCTCTTTGATGATCCAAAAAGCAATAAAATTTATTCATTCTGGCCATATAAAATCGTAAACGATGCTTCCCCCATTGATATTCTTGCTCAATAGCAGAAAGTCGAAAGAATTTTTTGATGTAACAATACTGCGAAAACCTACATGAAGGATGACATTTCTGGAATCAACATTTTGGCATTGCTTGGCTGACGTTGTGTCGTTTACTTGTGTCGAGTTCGATGTCCACGGGGTCCGAAAACGTGCTCGCGCATATTCCACCCTCATCATGGCCGGAAAGGACGCATTGCATCCGCAATCGCCATCCAACACACCTGGCTATGGCCGTGTAAACGGGATGAATGGGCCTAACATGGGCCATAGTCTTCCGCACGTTCGCCCGACGACTGCAAAACCAGCGACTGTTCTACTCATCGACGTTTTCGGACCCCAGTATGACTTCTCGAAACGGTTTCGTTCTTTTGTAGCTTCGCTAAAGTTGGTTTCCACCACGATCAATACGATAATGTTACTTTTTTCACGCGCGATTGTATGTTTGAAAATTAATTTCTTAAAAGAACATTGTATTTAAAAATAAATGAGTCTTTCTGCTAATGTTTTTAATATATTCATCAATCAAAAGATTAATGATTTATTTAAATTAAGACGTATGAATTGAAAATACACTGTATCAAAAAGAAAATGGATAAATCGAATTAAATATTATACCGAGCTTATTATTTATAACCTCTTCCTAAAATAAAGGAAAATTTATTTCTTGCAAATGTGTAGCTATTATCATGTCACAAAAGTCAATATCTTGTAAATATTTCTCAATACCAGCATGTACATATTGTAGAAAGCGCAATCCAGTCGTGATAAAATACTTTTGCAACATTCTATTGAAAGTAAAGAATTCATGTTATAGCAATACATACGCCGGACTTCTTCGACGGAAGAACGCGAGCTGTTAGTATCGTCCCCCAGAAAATCCGTAGAAACCCAAGCTCACCTCTCCGCTTCTAACATCGATCGCGCGAGGCTTCTCCAGGTTCCACTCTCTCCTCCTGTCGCGTTTCTCCCTCTACCTCCTCCATTCGCCTCGTTCCTCCCTACACCCCCGTATCCTAATGTATTATTTCTAAGGGCAAACAAGAAGCATTGCACCATTTCACGTACTATATATAACGATTAAATTAAATTTGCAAATTACATTTCCTAATCTTAATTTAAAGAATAATCTTTTATTGATAAGGAACAAATATTGTAACATTTGTCAGTAAAATAGTCAAGCATTGTCAAAATATCTGACGCAGACAGAAGAATGTTTTTCACTCTGCATAAGTATAATTAGCAGCTTCATTACAAGGTGTTCGCGCAAAACCAGTGGACATTTTGAACGCAAACCGGAGCGAGCCCGTTGGTACGCAAAATCGGCTTATTCTATTCAGAGAAGTTGCTCGGTGTGTGGGACGATCTATACTCCGATCGGTTTTCGTAATTCTGTTGCATTAACGGCAGCCTGGTAGCGAGCGTGTCCGATATGCATGTGCGTTTTCGTTCGCGCTGCTGCAGTCAGCTTGATTGGTAATTGATAGTCGTGCCAGCCCGGCATTCCCTTATAATTGGCTATTACGCCAGCTTTGCAAGAGCTCTCCGCGGCTCTCCGGATTCGTTCTGAATCACATTTGCGTTACGCATCACTGAAACGTGAAAATATATCGCTTGATTCATTTCGCGACAGATGCGCGCGACTGTTATTTCTTTTTTAATGGCGATGCAGCCACTGTAGGGGCGTCTGATTATGTAATCACGTAATATCGCGAGTAATTTCACGTATATATATGTTTACAGGTGTGGTTCAAAAATCGGAGAGCTAAATGCCGACAACAGCAGAAGCAGCAACAGCAACAGCAAGATAAAGCGCCGAGATCGAAAAAGCCCTCGGGGAGCCCGGCTAGTAATCCACCCCCTGGAAAAAGTCCTTCAATTACCACCCCGCCCACACCCGCCGCCGCGGTACCTGCTACTACGCCCTTGTAAATATCACTTATCTTAATGAGCGCTTATCTTTCGCGTATGTCCATGATCGCGCTAACGACTTTTATCTCAGACGGGAACGTGTCAGTGTGCGAGATAATCGGCAACTTAATTAGCTCGATAATTAGTATTCTAATTGCGGCTACACGCGACAGATATTATCGAGGTACATATTGCGCGAGATACGCTTCCTTACATTCGTATTTCGAGTGCGTAAAGTCGAAAATGCTAATTACGGCGCGATCGATCGCCTATGTATAAACGTAGAAAGCTACGTGTTTATACATACATATGTTCGTTATAACTGTATTCTTGTATTTAGGAGCGGAGGCACGGGTGGCTCAGCGGCAAGTTCGCCCGCGCTTTTAAGGGACTCGCCGCAGTATAAGCCTGCGGGAAATGCTAGTTTGCTATTAGCAGCCAGCACGACTCCACCGAGCGTAAGTGGATGGATTATAGCAGTACTTGCTTTCACCACATATAATGTGTACTCGAATATAATAGGTCGATTTATAATTATTATTTTACGCTTTTCGCGAAAAATTGTTTTAAAGAGCATTTTTTTGTTCGAAATTTTTCTTATCGATTGTATGCTCTTGAAATTTTATTTTTCAACAGTTAGGTGGCACAGTGTATAGCAGCGGTGGTGGTAGCAGTAGCATTTGGAGTCCGGCAGTAACGGAGAGCGGTGGAGCATTTCCGGGAGACCATCAAAGGTTAACGTGGACGACAACCCCCTCCCAGCAGCAGTGCTATCAAAATTATTCGTCCTATTATACCAATATGGATTACCTTTCGCCCGCCTCGCATCAGTTAAATGTGGTAGGTATTATAATATAATTTTCTATTTTTTTTTCCTTTTACATAAATATATACACAGAAAGAACGTTTTTACTGAAGTATCTAAACTGAGAGGTCAACCACCTCTATTGATATCATATTGCTAGTATTGTTATCACGTCTTAGCGGAACAAGTGAGCAGAACCGATTTTAACTAACTTTTTAATTTGTTGCTAACAAGTTGCCAAAGAAAAAATGTATTGCTCTATTAGTTTTTTTTTTTTTTTTAAATGTTCCGCTAAAGGAAGATTAAGTTAGCGGAACAATATACATAGAATAAAGCCAATCGACGTAACAATAACGTAGGAATTTGTTGCTTATTTGTTACTGTCGAAACATGCAAGTTACGAAGTCGTTGCTTGCAAAGTAAGTATAAATAACAATATTGTGCGCAATAAATGGCAATACATGAGGCTGATCTAAACAAAAAAATTAATCTCTAGCTAAATGTAGAATACTTACAAGTTAGTTGCTAGAATACCAAAACTTTTTGCAACTCATCATGCTTTACTTACAGAATTATTTTAATGGTCTAACAAAATTTTCAGATCTGCATCTATCTAAATTTTTAGATACTTCAGCAAAATCGTTCTTTCTATATAATAATATATAAAAAATGATGTCATTAAAGTATGTGCAGAGTGAAAAATATTTGATTCTTCGGTATAGAAATCAATAATAATGAGCAAAAGGACTAATATCGGATTGATAAATTAGGATAACGGAGGTAGCGGCCTTGACAATTCATGGAGCAAAACAAGAGATGAAGGCACTTCATCGTGGTTTTACAATAGCGCCGGATGGGGTGATCGTAAGTGAACCTACAAGCATCGAAGAATGAAGGTTGGGTACATATCATCGACAACATGATGTTATATGGATCGAATCGAAGTTTATTGTAACGTCATGCCTGAGGAAAAACTAAGGAAGTTCTACTTCTGACGAATGTCGATACAGACTAAACATATCTTTAATAACTCGACCAGCATTCGGATGCTGTGGAATGTACAGGTCGATCGAGAGTGCCATACGTATCTTTCTGCATTCATTGATACAGCATAATTTATAAATACACACAGGATGTTCTATATAAAAAAAATTTCTATTTAAAAAATAAAGATAACCTTTATATGTATCATAAACACCTTTATCTATAACAAAGTTATTGTACTAAACAATATTTCTTTTATATTATTCATTTTTATTACTTTTGTTTATACAATTAACTTTTATTCGATTTGCTTTACATTAATTTTGATGCACTTTTTTTTTTAAATATTTCAGAATTCAGATGATAAAAATTAAATAGGACATCCTGTGTAATTGTCTTTCCGTTGTCGACACATAATGCGATTATATAATATTTTTTAATATTTTGAACTATGCGAGAGAGCTTTGTGAAATGTGTTGTGATGTATGAGAGGTACTTCTACCATACAATCTGTCTTATTTACATCTCGAAATTTATGACAAATTATATGAAATTGTATGATTATTTAACATTACAAAAATATAACGATATCAAATTGGCGGAAACGATATTTTAAAATAATATTTCGTATTTTGAAAGTTGTTTCAAAATGTTTTGATAGTGCAAAATTAATTAATATTAACTAGTCACGTTAATAAAGTAATATAAAAGTAACAATTGAGAAATTAACACATTAAATAAAGTCGCCATAAAGAACAAATATAATATAATTATTTTCTTTCTTTGCAATAAATTTATTATTTTATCTAGCACGTCCGATTTTATAATGATAATGAATTATTTAGGCAATGATTTTAATAGTTCAAGTAAATCTGCTATTATCGCAAATAACGACTTTTTAATGGTGTACTATAATCGTTTCTTGTGATCTCCGGGACAAATAAACTATATATTGTGTACATAATATAAATACTTTTGCGAAAAATTCAAGGAAATTAACTTAGATTCACATACGTTAAAAAGATAGTAGAATATGTTCAAATGATTTAGTTCTCGATATAAAAAAATTTTCAAAAAGAAGTATATGCGTTATGTATAGGTACACAAACGTACGTACTATGTACATAAATTATATATAAAAACGTATATATATATATAGTGCAAGTCTCTCTATGTACATATGTATCATTCTTTCGTGTAGAAATACACTACCTGAATATATCGAAATGAACTCGTTATGACATCGAAGTTGTTGATCGTTTTCTTTTTATAGACTCATTTCACATGCAAAATAAAATATTTTATCTTTTATAAATTTAATAAATGGCATATATACCGTCCCGTTGTCAGAAAATTCGCATTGGATTGTCTCTCATATGATATTATCTTTGTATACAAAAAAGAGCAAGAATATAAAAAAAAAAACACTTAAAGTGATACTCATAATTAATTCTCTAATTTTCAAAACAAATGTTTTTGTAAAAACTCTTGTTAAAAAGAATCTTATTCTACATGCTTGTATTCTTTACGTGCGAGAATTTACTTAGCTTTGCATCACGAATCTCACCTCATATTTTCTGTTTGTTACCTTTGAACAACCAAATATTGTAATACGTAGTTTTTATCAAATTAATATTGAAAATATATCATTCTTTATTATAGTCATTTTTTTTTTAACACGCAGTATTCAGTAATTACAGGCAATTTTTGTCATACTTTATATATACATAAATTTTTGGATCAATCGATTAAATTTTTATGAATTCTAAATATATAAATCTATTTATTATCCACGTGCAAAAAGTATTTTAAATTCAATCAAACAGTTTACGTATCACTTTTGGTAAAACTTTTATTATCAATCAACATTGTCAATATTTTGGAAAAAGAAATCTTCAACGAGGAGTTTTATAAAAAAAACTAAATTGAATGCCGATTGTTCTCTACAGATGTGTGATGATTGATTATAGGATAGAAAAAATTAAGATCCATATGTATAAAGTAAAAAAACTGGTTTAAAATCTATAGAAATATAAGTATGTGACTGTTTAGATTGTTATTATAAATATTACCAATACTTATAAAATGATCGACACAGAAAACAACGACGTACATGTCTCAAGATGTATGAAGATAATATAACAAATTTGAATTGTATGTTCTTACTTTTTTTCCATCTACAACTTTCTATTTAAAAATTTTATTATCTTTCTTTATTATTCATTAAATTTTATTATCTTTAACAGAATTTCTTTCTACTCTCTTTTAAATACTAAACTTGTTATGTATATTAATCTTTTTATCATAATGAGACTATATCCTGTTTTTATTGCAAAAAATAGTTTTGTTTTATATTACAGATATATTATATCTACAGGTAATGCAATTTACATATATTTGCATTTATATGTAATGTGAGTCAGGGGGGGGGTTTGTTTTCATAAAGAATTATTATTTTTTAAAACTATTGCACTTATTGTTTTCACATTTATGTCCTGAGATTCAAACTCTAAGATTTTTAGATATTTTTGTGTTAGAAGTTTCATATTTATATAAAATTGCACATCAATGTCTAAAACATATATTTCTAAAAATTTTGCATTTATATTAATTTATATTAATTTATATTTATATGTTTACATGCGTATTGTTACATAATATCACATTTCATATCATATATTTAAAATTTGTAAAATTTTTAAGTTTTTATTTCGTATCTGTAACTATTTCGCAACAATTTTTCCTTTTTTGAAACCTAGAAAATTATTAATATTTATAATAATAAAAATTAATTAAATACATGAAGAAATATAATATATTGTGTGTGTGTGTGTGTAAAAAGTCATCTAAAAATTCAATTCTAACTTTTTAAATGACATCTAATATTTTTTATTTTTACAAAATCAATAAAATTATAATTGTGATGTCGACATGTTGTCATGTAAAAATATTATTTTTTTCTTAAAAAGATAAATTTATGTTAAAGATTATTAAAGAGCAAATACCTCGACAAATACAAAATATGCCATAATTAATTCTTTTCTCTCAATTTGTCGTGTAATCATATTTCTGACAAATTAAAATATATTCAGAGATCATATATAAAGTTCAATAATACAATTGTGTAAGGTAGGACGTAATATATTATAAAAATTATGATCTTTCATTTATATTGATTTCGTAGAGGTAGGTAACTGTTTTTTTCTCGTTATCATCTGCTTTGTTTCGACTAATCGCTTCTTATATTCGTCACAATTCGCTGAGAGGGCGTTAGTGGACAGCCAAACGAACTTTCGCGACAAAAACGGATAAAACTACGTAATGTAGCTCGTCGGTGAATTTTCAACCAATTAAACGATAAAGTTTTTGTTAGGAATAGAATATTTTTAGTTAATTTTTTTTCTTAAATCTTTAAGAATAAAAAAAAATCTTTCAAGTATAAATCATTCATTTCTATAAACGTTATTATTAATTAGAGAGAAAAGGGCAAAATTGCAATTAAAAAATGTTACATATCGTAATTACAGTTTTTAATGACTTCTATTGATGCATGATGAATGTGGAAAATTAAATTGTGAAGAATTCTACAAACAGTTCAATTATAGAAAATTTATATTTGAAGGAATTCTCGCGCGTTATATTGTTTTCATTAATATCACGTTTACGTGATGAAAATTTTGTTATGGGGAATATAATCACTTTAATAAAGTATGTAGCACGTTACATCTAATGATAAGTATAGTATATGTCATGACAAAGTTAGAATTTTTCAAAAAAGCTTCAGTATCATTTTCGCGCGCTGCATGTATTGGAATCTGTATTTACCTTCACTTTACCGGACTTAACCATGACGCGGCGTCGTTGATGAAGCGGTGTTGATCGTGAAGATCCGCAATGACTGACATGCCTTGACGATCGCCTCTCACTTGAACCAACATTCCTGATGAAATTTCGCACTAATTATGCCCTACGAACGGATGAAAGCCGAAATTAATGCGGAGCGATTCGCGCTTCGCACTCCAAACCGACGCGCCGATGAAACTGTCATGGCGGCCGGTCGGTACGCGGGACATTCGATTTGAAATAATTTTAAATATTTCGAAAGTATTATAATTCGCAATGAATGACGAATGTGACGAAAATTCTTGAGATTTATATATTAAAAGCGACATGTCACTAACTTCATGTAGTAGTCAAATGTTAAAAACGATTGATTTAAATTAGTTTAAATAAATGACAGCTATCTATTGTAATTTGTTTGTAAAATGTACTGAATATTTCCTTTTTTTCTTCACAATATTGAAAATAACATTAAAATACTGAATTAGTTGGAAAAATAATATACAATAAACTAATTGCAGCAATATTTAACGTAAATCTCGAATTATAATCGATTAATATTTTTTTTAAGTATTTGAAGATGAAACAAATTGCAATAATGTGTGAACGTAAAATAAAATCTGTTCGCATTTTGCATAAAGTCCCTAAAAATTATGAAATAAGGTAAATATATATAAAAGCAAAGGCTGCATCACAAACATGCTGTAAGCTATTAGCATATACCGTAAGCTAGAAGAAATTGACCATGAGAATAATTAAATCGCGAAGAGATCAAGAGAATAAATCGATTTCATTCTCCTCATTTGGTGATTAAATCAATTTCTTACAGCTTACGGTATAAATTAACAGATTACGGCATGTACAAATAAATCCTTAAAGATGCCGAGTGCAAAAAGCGGAAAAAAAAAGCAACGAACTTATAATCTATATTTATCTCTCCGGGATTATACAACAAGACAACCGACAGGTTGCGTCCTCTGGTGGCGACGCGAGCGATCACGTTGACCGACCAAGTGAACCGAGAGCATCCAGGTCCAGGGGTCGCTTC